CTAAAACTAATCTAAAGAGATATAGCCGAACCTATCAAGATTGTAATCGAGTTGGCTCCTTAACGCTAATTGACTGCGAAGCTATCAAGGGCTTGAGTACGGCCGAGCGTAATAACAGCCCTGTGAGAGAGTAACCAAAAAGGCGGACGCTCGCTAATCAGAAACTCTGATTCTCTCAAACTCAACAAGTAATGTTTTTATTCTTCATCGTAACATACACTGTAAATTCTATGTGTGTACTGAATAATTAGTATTGTAATGTATAATAATTGTATAATTGGTAATGTAATTAATATTGTAATGTGTAATAATTGTATAATTGGTAATGTTTCTATTATTCATCGTAACATACACTGTAAATTCTATGTGTGTACTGAATAATTAGTATTGTAATGTATTGAAATTGCATAATTAGTATTGTAATGTATAATTGGTAATGTATGAATTGTATAAATCAGTAGTGTAATATATAGTGCATGCTGCAAAATTAGTTTTTAAATGTATTATAATTGAATCATTAGTATCGTAACGTATTCTAAAAGTAGCATGTTACAAAAGCCCCTGTATGGCCATGTACTTATGTTTTTCTCAGATATCAACAAACACTGGGACGCGGGCAGGTAGACGGCAGCGAACCCCATTGGCGGCTCTGGATAAGGGCGGACGTGGTGCTGTACTGATTAACCATTAAGGTAGAGTCAAGTAGGTAGTGATAAGTGACGGAGGACAGTGCCCACGTCCTCCGTCACGTATCACTTATCTAACTCAACAAGTAGAACTTCGCGGTTAAATACCGCTCCTCCTCATTATGTATTCAGACGTGATTCTAAAATTACGTTCTGGCCGGAAATAGTAAGTTACGAATTTGATAGGAAAGACGTTTAACTAAAAATTTAACTGTTAATAAAATTAACATAATTCTTACAACCCCAAACGGCGTTAGCCTAGAATGGCTACTATTAATTTCGCTTTGGCATTTTGCGTCGATTCACGATAAACATTATTTCACTTTTCAAACTGTTGCCACCCAATGTTAAAGTCCTGCATTATATTTGAAGAAATTAAATAATGAAGAATCTGCATAAATGCATGTATGCTTCTCACATTGTGATAAAACAACGGTACCTAGATCCATCCAATTTTGAATAACGCAATCTTACTGCGAATATGGGCATCTGGAAACCCAAATTTGGAATTTGTTTCATTATCTCTTTCATATTCTGTAAACCATTTATGATTTTTTTTTATTAAGAAACTCTACGATTTCAAAGCGAGCCATGGCAACACTGTACGTGGGGGAAGAGGGCATTTTTATCTCCAGCGCGCGAAACTGTGTATCGGAAATTACAAAGATATGCCCTTTTAAATATTTTGTGATAATGCTGTTGAACTGAATTAATGGTTTAAGTGCGAAGAACATGATACTACATATATGAACATGATAATGGTAACACACAAAACTTTAAAAAACGCCCCTTTGGGCAAAATATAAAATCTGAAAGCTTTCAAATTTTATTTATTTATTTTTAATTACTATAATAATATTTATAGTAATAAAAAATAATGGATAAATTTATAAAATAGATAAATAATAAATTTAAAAAAATAAATAAATTATAAAATAAATAATAATATAAAAATAAATAATAATTTATTTTTTATTACTATAGGAAATATATATTATATTTTCAATTCTATTTATTATTTATTTTATTACATTTTATATTTTTTACATTTTCTATCAAAATTAAATGTATTTTTAAATAATTTTTGTAATAAATTTTATTTCATTTTTGTTACAGAAAAAAGGAATCTACATTAGAAAATGGAGGACCATTGCATGAAAGATACACTTGAGGAACCCCAACCCCCTGCTACATACAGGTTAGTTTTACTTATAAATAAAAACGTATGAACCGTCTTAGGTCTCACTCACTCGTGAACGTAATGTATGTTGTAATTTAAGACAAATACGAACAGGGCCGCCGCGGGGGTATTAGGCGCTCTTGTTCAAATTGAAATTTGGCGCCCCTTTATAGGGTTCTGTTGCACCCATATAAAGTGCTGCAAATTATATGTGAAATACTCTTTTACAATATTCAAAATTTGACTTTCGAACTGAAAAGTTTTAAAATTGTAATATTGAAACACGTGTTTGTCTTATTGTTTTATTATTTCATAAATTTTAAAAACAAAACAACGATAAAACAGTTTTTAAGTAAAATATAAAAATTAGAAAATGTATTCAAATATTGATTCGCCTCGCTTTAGCAGCTACAAACGCGGGTTTCAATTCCTTTATATTTAATTTATCCAAAATTTCGCTCGCTATGGATATAGTTCACAAGTCCGATAATCTCACCTGTGCTATGGTAGATCGCACGTAGTTTTTTATAATTTTAAGTTTTGAAAAACTTTGTTTTCCAGTAGCCACCGTAACTGGCACGATTTGTAAATCACATTTATAATTTTGCATTATTTCATTTACCACATTATTTACTAAATTTAAAATATCGTGTCAGATCTTAATGGAACAAATGAATTTAAACGACAAAACCATCTGAAAATTTATTTCTAAGAATTTAGTGTGAATTTTTTTCTTCTTTCTGCTGATTCAAAATATTTAATTAAATTAAACCAATATTAATACAAATTACTAAAAAGCATTTGCTATAAGCAATTGAAATATTGAAAAAATCTCAGGTACATAATAATTATAAACTATTAATGAAAAAGAGCTATAAATCATTAGTAATTTTTTTTAGAATTTTTTTCGATTATTTGGAAGTTGTAATTGTATATCAGAAATAGGTAAATCTAGTTTTGCCAAATTAATCGTTTATCTGGGTTTTATAAAGGTAAATAAAAAGTTGCTTTTTGAATTATTTTGTTAATTTGAAACATAAAAGTTTTTTTTAATGAACTGTTTCTTTACTACTATGAAAATAATACTAAATATATATAGTGTTGTTCACTTACCTCTAAATAGTAATGCTATTTTTTAGAGCAATTATAAACAAAAACGATTTGAAAACAATCACAGTACTTTGCTTGCGAAGCAATTCACAGAATGTACACATTTTATGAGTGACGACTACGTATATGATTAAAGTTAAGGACGTGTGTCCGGTTTGGACACACCTAAAAATGTCCTTCTGTACACACAGAAAAATTGAATAAAAAAGGATTTATAGGTAACTATAAGTTAGTCTGAACCTTCTTTATTTATAGTAGATGACAGCTCAACACAAACCAGTCCATATATTTTAGTCATGTTTAGTTTCTTAAGACCTTCATTTTTTAAAGAAATCTTCCAGATTTTTTTTAGGGTATAAAAGGAATTGTTTGAAAAGAAATTTCTGTGCTATTTTTTTGGCTGTATGCTAATCTCCTTATTCTATATTAGTTTTAAATTTTTACCTTGAAATCATGCCTAAAATCAATCGGCGAACCCTAGGTGGGCCCAGACTGGGCTCACCGATAATCTAGGACAACTGAGAGTCTGTATTTTTTGTTTCTACGCATCTCATCGGTCAGTTCATTGACAAAAATGCTCAGCACTCTTTTCGAAGCTCTATTCAATCAGTGTGCCACTTTGGGCACACCCACAGAATTAAAACGATAAGTGCTATCTTCACAAAATTTTACTCGTGTACTTCTCTACGCCTAATTAGACTGCCTACCTTTTTTTTAAAATCAAAACTCCGACTTTAAAAGGTTGCGTGCCGGAAAGGGTTAATTCAAAGGTACGCGCCACCGTGAGTGTTAGGCCATTGAATGTAAGAATTAGTATTTCGTAATCCGCCACATCGCCCTTTTTGGGTAACTGGTAAGTGATAAGTGACGGAGGACGTGGACACTGTCCCTTTACCTTAATGGTTAATCAGTACAGCACCACGTCCGCCATTATCCAGAGCCGCCGATGGGGTGGGTAACTGGTAAATTAGAACCTGCAATAGATATCTGGATTACCTCACTAAAGTTTTTCAGAAATGACAACCACTTGAGAGAGTAGAGCGAGCCCATGGCTAAGTAGTCTTACCACATGCAAAAATACCAAGGAAGAATACTAATTAAACACACAAAACAAAGAAAAAAGGCAAAATAAAAAACAGCAAAATACATGTGCCATTAAAGTAATGAAAATATATTTAAGTTGAGAATAGAATAATAATTTTGAATGGCGCCTTTTTTGTTGCCACATTAAAAAAATGTACGTATATTATCATTGAAAAAAAAACTAGTACGACGTTGAGGTGCAACAGCTTCTCAGCACATAAAGAATAAGTATATGCCGATACAAAACATTACCAATTCCTGTTGTTACATGTTACGAATTCTTAGATTTTTAAGTACCATAGTTCCGTCTGGTAGCGCGAAATCCACACGGAACATGTTTTTATTGTTCATATCGGCAATCAAATTTTGTTTTACACAAACGAAAACAACCCGCAGAAACGAAAACAAAATAAAAATAAAATAAAAATAAAAATAAAAATAAAATGTCATTTTATTGCTTAGAAAATATAAAACATGACAAATTGCAAGCTTATAATTAATAACTTTTCTAAGAAGATTAAATAAAAATATTCAAAATATTCAATTAATTCAGTTCTCACTTCGCAGAGAGGCAAAAATGCATAAAGTCTCAAAATATCTTCATTAAAAATTGAAAAATATAGAAAAACATAAAAAGCCAAATACAGTTACAATAATTAAAAAGCATATATATTTTACAATTAAAAATTAGAGTTTCTACGCAAAAACAAGCAATTCCGATCAGTGGGTAGAAAGGCCAGATTTTTCGGATGCACAAAACGGAAAGTTTACTTTTGGTTCTACTGGACAAAATGACACTGAAGGAGCAGACAGCTTCATTGTCACTATTCTGCTAAGTTTCAAATTTGAACAAATATGGCTGCTATGGTAAAAAAAAATAGGCTTAGCCGCACTTAAACAGCTCCTAAATTGTTGATAATTTTACAATTATTGCATGCACCTTAACTAGAACATACTAGCAACCTTAACAGGAACGTACTAGCAACATAATTTTGCATCCTCTTCGTGCTGCTCCTCCTCCTGCTGCTCCTCCTCCGCGTGCTGCTACTCCTCCTCCGCGTGCTGCTACCTCCTCCGCGTGCTGCTACTCCGCGTGCTGCTACTCCTCGTGCTGCTTCTCCTCCTGCTGCTCCTTCTCTTGCTGCTCCTTCTCCTGCTGCTCCTCCCCGTGCTGCTGCTCCTCCTCCTGCTCCTCTTTCTCCTGCTGCTCCTCCTGTTCCTGTCCCTCCTCCAGCTGCTCCTTTTCGTGCTGCTCCTCCTCCTCGTGCTGCTCGTCCTCTTCCTTTCCTCCTCCTGTTGCACCTCCTCGTGCTGCTCTTCCTCCTGCTCCTCCTCATGCTGCTCCTCAGCAGGTAGGAGGAATAGTACGAGGAGGAGGAGCACCAGGAGGAGCATCCGGAGGAACAAGAAGAGCAGCCGCCGGGGGGGGGAAGGAGCAGTATGACGAAACATATATTCGTGTGCAGAAATAATTTTGCCTTCGGGGCCCATTCGAGACCAGCCATTTTGCCACCTGCCGCCCGCGGCCGTCTTTCCGCAATTATAAATAATAATGCTGTAGTTTTAAAGACATATTGTAATATTTAAATGATAAATGTCGCATCTGCCTTTGTAGAAGAGAGTTCTTAAGGTTATTTTTATTATATTCAAATTTTTTCACTATCAGGATCATCAGAGAATACTAAACAATCTTTAATTGAATTTGATTTAATTGGTCATACTTATTAATGTGCTTGCTTATTTACTACAGAGATTTATTGTGCATTAAAAAATGGTAACATTAAGTGTGCGAGAGTGGTTAACACATAACACTCCCATACCTCAAGAAATCATATGTTACAAAGCATAAGTAAGACAGCATAAGAAGTTTAGTACATACACATTTGAAGTATTATAAGGATATTAATATAAATTTAATAAAAAAACTAATTTAATATAGTAAGTGAAAACAGTAAAGCAATTGAGCTGCAGTGTTATCGTAGATTAATTAACAATTAGGTTACATAATATTTATGCGATTCAAAGAATTGAGAGATGATTACAAATATTGAAGTGCAGTGCAGTTGGGCCAAGCTTGGATTGGCGTGGCAAGCTCTGTTGGTGAGAGTAAAGCAAAGCCTGAGACAGAAAACTAACTCTGAATATCAACTAATAACGTGGCCTTCAGCAGGCAGAATACGCTCTGGCTAAACAACCTAAAACTTTCCTTTAAATACTGTCTCTTTCTAACACATTTAAATACGCGTGAACGAAAATTTGTATTTTGGCAGGAAAATGTAAAGGGGGAAAGGATAGTAAACATTTTTGTTGAATAATGCTCTGACATATAGTCAGCCCAAGCCCTCGAAATTCCTCGTGGCAAAGTGCGCAAGTTTATGCCTGTCGATGGCAACAGCCTTGAACACCTTACAGGTGGCAGTGCAACTTAGCTGAGTTCCACCCCCAATTTTGATGGACAGCACCCTGGAGGGACGGGTCCGAGGGTCTTCCACCCCCCTCTACTTCTACCACCAACCTCTCGAGATGACTTTCGGCTCACCGCCTATTTAGAGTGCCCCCATGCCGCATGGACACTATACATTTACAAACATCGGGTTCGTACCCGGCTCCTTCGACACGGCAGTTAGCCATGCTAACCACTATACCGGATGTCCGGTCCAGTAAACATACTTAGCATTATATTTTCAAAAATTCCGCAGGACTAGTTTCGATGGTTTTACCGAACCACCATCCTCAGCTGCAAAACCGCAAATGAACAAGGTAGGAAATAATGATTAGATAAGATAAGAAAGCCTGGAAAAGAATAAGCAAGTGGCGCCATCTGTTGGTGAAACCAGAACTAAAACATAATTTCTTTAAAGGCCGAAGGCAAAGATGGATTGAAATTAGGATCGTTAACTAGATCGTTAATTAGAGAAAGATTTTTTTGAATGCGAAATGCCTCTAGAAAATCCAGTTCTCCAATGAAAGATGTTTTTTGAATAATTTTGGCAGCAGAAAAATTGAAAGTATGATTTTCGGACCAACAATGTTGAGCAACAGAAGACTTCTGTGTTTTCCTTTTTTCTAAAATATGCCTCATGTTCCTTGACGGAAATTTAAGGCTCTCTTTTTTGGCCAATGTAAATTAAACCACACTGGCAAGGAATCCTATAAATTCGCCAGGAATTCATATCCGGAATGGGGTCCTTGAGTATGGAACTCGGAATTTTATTGATGGGAGAATAAACAACCCGAAAGTTAAATTTCTGTAAAATATGTGCAACTTTATAACTTTCTGTATAATATGCAACTTTATGCAACTTTCTGCATAATATGTGCAACAACTCCTGCGAAATTTTTGAAAAAAATATATATATAACGCCGATTTTTGTTGTTTTAACTTCTGAATTAGTATAAAGTAACTAGTTAGGTAAAATAAATAAATATCGTAAAAGGTAGATACATAACATCCTTTATTCTTTTGCCAACGGTTTGTCAAATAAACCAAAAATAAAGAACACACAATTTTTACGCCTTCGCATCTCTCGCGAAATCGCTTCGCAATCGATTCAGTCGTGGGTAAAAGTATCGATTCGAAAAAAGATACTGACAACAGGAAAAATACTCATCCACCACTTCACAATGCGCTTTTTTATTGCATATTTTTTATTGGAATTTCCATAAAAAAAGTGAGAGTGTGTTTCGACCTTATTAGTTCTTTGTCAGTGGAAAAATATTAAATTTTGCCTAGCTGTCAATACTCGAAGGAATGTTTGCTTCCTATTTTCACTCTTGACAAGTGAAAATTATAATCATCGTGAAAAATATGATTTCCCTTTCCTCTTGTAGATAAAGCTTAAAAGAAAATTTACTACAGTTGGTCTTTGTTCCTATAATTTGCTTTTGTATTTTACAAATAATGCCACCTGTTCAAGTAAATAAAGTGTAGAATAAACATACTTTTTTTTGTGCGAAGAATTAGTTTTTTTAGCCCATAGGCGCTTTAGCCCAGAAGAAGCCTCGAAACGGCATTTTGTGTCAGTTTACTATAAATGTCCGTTTCAGTTTGAAATGTTGCCACTCAATGTTATCGCCCTGTATGAATTTTAAAGAAATTAAATAATGATGAATCTTCACCAATGTATGTATATTTCTCGCATTGTGAAATAACTACGGTACCTGGAGTCGTCCAATTTTGAATAACGTAGTCCTCCACCCGAATATCGAGACCTGGAAGCTCAAATTCTGATTTTTGGAATTTATTTTATTATTATTAATTAGGCGGAAGAAGGAAAAGAAGATATTCTATTTTATGTTTTGTAAAACTTTAACGAATTTTCGATTAACAAACTCAACGATTTCAAAGTGAGCATTGGCAGCACTATACGAAAAAAAAAAAAAAAAAAGCATTTTTATCTCCAGCTCGCGAGAGTACCTGTCGGACATTCTAAAGATATGCTTTTTAAAAATATTTTTAGCCCAAAGGGACATTAAGGGGACTCAAACACCTTAAAACACATAAGATCTTGGAATATGTGACTGTTGCAAGAATTAGGGTAACTTATTTATTTTTAAAAGCAATTACTTCCAATTTTTTACAGCTGACTACATAATATAGCTGCTTTCTGAAATAGTCAGTCATCAGAAAGTTTGTGTTGCCACAAATATTTTTATAATTTAATCCACTTTGTGACAAAAGTTTTCGTCATGTTTCCACCTTGCGCGCCAGTTTAAAACATTTTAAATAACAATTTTAAATAACATTAAAATTTAAAACACAAATATTTCTATAATTTAATCTGCTTTGTGACAAAAGCTTTCGTCATGTTTCCACCTTGCGCGCCAGTTTAAAACATTCTGTTGCATAATTTACTTCCCTATTTGGTATATGGCATTTATAACATTTGGAAACCACTGTGAACCAAAAATTCTAAGGATGTCATGTTAAATTTTTATTTTATTTGGAGTTGAGTTTAAAAAATGTATTTTATTAAAAAAATGTGTAATGTTTTCGTGCGGAAATTTTTTTAATATTAAAATGTTCATCAGATTTTTGGTTCATTTAGACAATAGTGCCCATATAAAGAATTCCATCCAATTTCAAGTATGTACCATTAGCCATTTTTAAAATATCGTGCGCGCAAGGCGGAAACGTGACGAAACATTTTGTGACAAAGCGGATTAAATTACAAAAATATTTGTGGCAACACAAACTTTCTGGTTGCTAGTTTCCAAAGCAGCTATATTATGGAGTCAGTTGTAAAAGGTTGGAAGTAATTGCTTTTAAAATAAATAAAATATCTCTATTCTTCCACCAGTCACATATTTGAAGATCATAAGGGGTTTAAAGGGTATGAGCCCCTTTAACCCAAATGTTCTCGAAACGTGTTTGTCTGTATAAAGGAAAAAACGCCCTTTTATATGTAGTATGAAGTTTGAAAGCTTTTAGATTTTTCTGTGAATATTATATATGTATATATGAAATAATACCAAGGAAAAAGCCGTAATAGTGTTGATGCGTAATATTGAATATAAAGAATTCTGATCGCGTCGTATGCTAATATGTTGAACTTCGTAATATTTAAGAAACTTGGCAGTCGTGGCAGCTTTAATTTCATTTTTATTTTCCAGTTCAAGTTTGTGGCAACAGTTCACTTGGCACTCGAGTCGTGCCTATTCAAGAACACTCACATTTTTATATTACTGCAGCATAACGAAATCACATCCAGGCAGAGCAGAGACCGAAGCTAAAGCGCGCAGTTATCCAATATGGAAGCACATGAAGAGAAAAGTTTTGGTTTGTGTTAAAAGTTTCAGTTCCCAATTATTACGTCATCAGAGCTGCGCAGGCCATAGAATGATCTAGAAATGACGCAATCTAGAGAAGTTATTACAATTTTTAGAACGGAGATGGAGAATTAAATGGTTACCGTTAGTTAAAATTATAATTTTGGTTCGCATTTTTTTTTATCTTACATATATATTACGTGTTATTTAATTTTTAATATTATTTTATTTCCAATTGCGGTTACTAGCCGTTATAGACGTTGGCCACACCTGAGGCCGGAAATGGTGCTCACTTTATTATGGAGGCACCTAACAGGTGGGCCATCATTGCCTCCTATGAAGGGACAGACAATTTATGTCCATGCTTTTTCTGGGATTCGAACCCATACCCTTCGGTGCGGCAGTCAGATTCAATAACCACTTTACCGTCTGGGCGGCTTTTTGTGAAGAGACAGAAGCAGGAAAAGAAGATATTCTGTCCACAGGTTTAAGCCTAGAAATTGCACAGAACAATAAGAAATGCTGATCGAAAGTAAAATGTGCAATGTGTGTATTTGTGATTGTGTGT